CAGGTAGGTAACAACACTGGTAGGTAATATAACAACACAGATAGGTAACAACACAGGTAGGTAACAACACAGGTAGGTAACAACACTGGTAGGTAATATAACAACACAGATAGGTAACAACACAGGTAGGTAACACTGGAGGAAGTGCTCTGTATCGAAGTCACCTTTCTATGTGTACATCAGTAGCGTGTTATAATTAGAGCTGGTGATGGACAAGGAGGAGCTGGGAAGGAATTTATTCATTGTCGACTGTCCTTTGTCATCATCGACATCATAGCATTAAAGGTCACGTACTGGTCACGACTTGCTTCATTTTTAAATACCCCTGTTATTATACTAGCTGATTGTCCTGTGATCTAATAGTGTATAACAATACTCAACACTTTCGTTATAACAATCTTATACACACACAGTGTAGACAGTTACACAATGTTATATCCCCGTTGGCCACACCGCCGAACAAAGTATTACGATATCGGTCACAGGGGCAACTCTCAAACCTTGAAATAATTCCCAAACACAGCTTACACCAGAAACCAGGTATTGAATACTTCGTCATCTTCAGCAGTGATATTTGTAATGACCGCACGTAACCTACACGATGGTGGAGACACATTGAACCCCGTTCTAGGATACTGTAGATTTATAACCCGCTATCCTATTACAGCTTTTTGTAAGTATTATTATAAGTTCAGTAATTTAATTACAGTCTTGATTTGAATACAATCAGTCGACACAGACTCACCAATCTTAAACAAAAACTACTAAGAACAAAGTTACCAGATAATTACAAATGATATTTATCTTTTCCAGTTTTGGCGTCGTCTTTCCACGTTACCGTAATAACAGCGACCGTATGCCTGGTTGTCACTGGCTATGATGTGTTCCCGATTGAGTTCAAGACAATGCCATTGCTCCTTAACAAAGACAACACACGAACGCAAGATCTGGCATGGAGGAGCAGAGATTCTTACGATTACAAAATATGGAGACCTCTGACTGGAGCATCACAGCCAGCCTACTACAACGGCTATGTCGGTGACCTTGTCGAGGTCATACTGGAAGTACCCTACTACGACATCTTCAGCCGCGCAAATCTCCAGCTTATACATGAGGCTGAAGAGAGGATGTTCAACGTCAAGTATTACCAGATCTTCTTCTGCTATGTTGCCAGCGGCACCGATTGCCATAAACCCTCGTCTGTTCTCAGGTTGTTTGACGGAACCTTTAACTCCTCCAGTGCCGTATTCTATGACCCCACGTTCAGTAACATCCATGGTGTTTTGTGCGAGTCAACCGCTCACAACGCAACCAAGGATTACGTGCAGTTCTTCACAGAAAAGGGACTCAATCTCTGTGATGGCATATTGAGATCCTCTAAAACCAGATTCTTTTACAAATTAGGATGGCCACTACGAGGTACTAATGATAAAACCAAGTTAGAAACATTTCTGGTCTCCTCGGTGAAACCAGAGATGGAAAATATTCGTGATCATCTACTCTCCGGTAAAATGTCTCTGTATTACATCAGCACGCTACTGTTCGAACATGACGTCGTTGACCAGGCTCTGAGTGATATGCTTCTCGCTGTTGGCAGCTTTTTGTTTATCTTCGTCTTCATGTGGTTTCAGACAGCTTCTTTTTTTATAACGTTTATGGGTATTTTCAGTATACTTACCAGCTTCCTCCTAACGAATCTCATCTATAGGTGTATCCTGAATTATGAATACTTTGGATTTTTCCACGTTATTGCCATGTTCATAATCTTGGGTATCGGGGCGGACGATGTCTTTATCTTCTACGACACGTGGCGACTGACAGGCCACACGGTATATCCCAGTAAGGCGCACAGACTTTCCGATTGTTATAGGAAGGCAGCGAAAACGACTTTTGTTACATCTCTCACAACGATGACTGCTTTTCTGGTGAGCGGTCTCTCACCTCTACTGCCGGTGTGCTCGTTTGGAATATTTTCTGGTATTTTAGTATTTGTAAATTATCTTTGCGACCTTCTCTACTTTCCCACTGTGATAATGCTTTATTCACAAAAGGTCAAACCTCTTTGGGATAAACTGTGTGGACCCTGTATAAAAAAATGCAAGAGGGAGAAACTAAAAGGAAATATAAAAAACAGTCCGAACAGTCTACAACATGACGTCACTATGTCTATGGATATACCGAACAGTGATATAGACAAAGTACAGAAGCCTTCCACACCTTCTACAACTAAGCGCCCAGCATGTAGTGATTCGTCATGCTGTGATATCCAAAACACATCCATGACGCCAAGGACTAAGAAAAATTTCGAACACCGTAACAGAGTCGTCCTGTTTCTGAAAAACGGATTCTACGATTTCCTGACGCGTCGTGCTGTAACAGTTATTGTACCTTTGCTATTTCTCTGCATTTCAGGTTTCTGTATGTGGAGTGCTTCAAACTTGGAACCAGATTCACAACAGGTAAAATTTGATTTGGAACTAAAGCTACTAGAGTTCATTCTGGATTAAGTGCAGTTTAAAAAATAAACTGAAAGTGAAACGACGACGTAGTTGAACCTTAAATTTGTTGCCATACTTATTAAGAAATATTAATAATTCCATTAGTTGTGTATAATAGTTGACTATTGCTGCAGCAAATCAGTTTGAACAATCATTTGGTCATTTTTATTCACAGCTTCAGATCTACCGTGCATCTCATAACTACGGACGTGCGTCGCGCATGCACTACTACAGCTTTGAGCGGAGTTTCGAGGAGGAATATGCAACCGTATATCTCGTATGGGGTATCAAAAGGAAGGATCTCAGTTCGTGTAACTTCAAGTCAGCAACTTACTGTGATGGAGTGGCAGGATGGGACGATACCTTCGACCCCAGTACACCTGAGGCACAGGTCGCACTTAAGGTACATCTCTAATCTAAACACTATCTCATGATGCCTTCCACAGGTCGCACTTAAGGTATACCTCCGATCTAAACACTGTCTCATGATGCCTTACACAGGTCTCACTTAAGGTATACCTCCGATCTAAATACTATCTCATGATGCCTTACACAGGTCGCAATTAAGCTAACCCCTATACACAGGTCGCACTTAAGGTATACCTCCGATCTAAACACTATCTCATGATGCCTTACACAGGTCGCAATTACGCTAAACCCTATACACAGGTCGCCCTTAAGGTATACCTCCGATCTAAACACTATCTCATGATGTCATATACAGGTCTCACTTAAGGTACACCTCCGATCTAAATACTATCTCATGATGCCTTACACAGGTCGCAATTACGCTAAACCCTATACACAGGTCGCCCTTAAGGTATACCTCCGATCTAAACACTATCTCATGATGTCATACACAGATCTCACTTAAGGTCCATCTCTAATCTAAACTCTGTCTCATGACCCCATACACAGGTCGCACTTAAGGTACACCTCTGAACTAAATACTATCTCATGCTGTCATATACAGGTCGCACTTAAAGTACACCTTCGATCTAAACACTATCTCATGCTGTCATATACAGGTCGCACTTAAGGTACAGCTCCGAGCAAAACACTTTCTCATGATATCATATACAGGTCGCACTTAAGGTACACCTTCGATCTAAACACTATCTCATGATGTCATACACAGATCTCACTTAAGGTACATCTCTAATCTAAACTCTGTCTCATGACCCCATACACAGGTCGCACTTAAGGTACACCTCTGAACTAAATACTATCTCATGCTGTCATATACAGGTCGCACTTAAGGTACAGCTCCGAGCAAAACACTTTCTCATGATATCATATACAGGTCGCACTTAAAGTACCCCTCCGATCTAAACACTATCTCATGATGTCATACACAGATCTCACTTAAGGTACATCTCTAATCTAAACTCTGTCTCATGACCCCATACACAGGTCGCACTTAAGGTACACCTCCGATATAAACACTATCTCATGATATCATACAAAGGTCGCACTTAAGGTACATCTCTAATCTAAACCCTATCTTATGATGCCTTCCACAGGTCGCACTTAAGGTATACCTCCGATCTAAACACTGTCTCATGGTGCCTTACACAGGTCTCACTTAAGGTATACCTCCGATCTAAATACTATCTCATGATGCCTTACACAGGTCGCAATTACGCTAAACCCTATACACAGGTCGCCCTTAAGGTATACCTCCGATCTAAACACTATCTCATGATGTCATATACAGGTCGCACTTAAGGTACACCTCCGATCTAAATACTATCTCATGATGTCATATACAGGTCGCACTTAAAGTACATCTCCGATCTAAATACTATCTCATGATGTCATATACAGGTCGCATTTAAGGTACATCTCCGAACAAAACACTATCTCATGATGTCATATACAGGTCGCATTTAAGGTACATCTCCGAACAAAACACTATCTCATGATGGCATATACAGGTCGCACTTAAGGTACACCTCCAATCTAAATACTATCTCATGATGTCATATACAGGTCGCACTTAAGGTACATCTCCGAACAAAACACCATATCATAGACCTCATAGACATCATAGACCTGCGATTGCATTGAGACTTCACAAAAGTTTCAAAAGAAATGTTGGTTAACAACTTTCCGTTATCATATTTTAAGTAGCGATTTGTTTGTTGTTATTTAGAGAGGCACAATAGAATGATTTTATATATTTCACAGAACCTTTGTAATCGACTTGAGACGATGAGCGCTGAGGAGGCCGATTCACTGAAAATAAAAAGAAACGCTCTCACGGAAAAGTTGGAAATAACCTGCTTCACCACCCCGTACGAAACATATTTGCAGGTACTGCTAGCTTTTAATCAATTTATTTTCTTTTGTATTGATTCACACTGATTCTTTTTTTTTTTTTTTTTTTTTTTTTTTTTTTTTTTGCAATCTTAAACAATTAGAATACATGTAATGTAATTTTGGGGCCAACTCAACGAGTTTAGTGAATAGTTCTAACGCGTTTCGTTTTAACAGAAAGTGATCAGTACGAACAGCAGCCTTTACCCCACTGGGCAGACACTGGACCTGCCTGTCAATGTCGGGAACGTCTCGGCTTTCATGGATGCCCAGCCTTCAATATACTACTCCAGCTCGTCATTGCCGTCTGATTTTGACCAGCACGTAGGGGTAAGTAGTCAGGGTGGGTCAAAACATTGAAGTGTCCCTCCTGTTTACTTTCAGACATATCGACGATGTTTTGAAAACTAATATTGACAACGTCGATCGTATGTACCCTCCTAAACTTGAAATCAAAAACATTACAAACTCTTCTAAAACTACCAGACATCTGGCTTTTACAACATTTAATGATTTCGAATTTTCTGATCTTGAACTTCTTGAAAGTAGCCTCCCCGTTTTCCTCCCCACATACAGTATTTACATGTCGCAGTTGATTCTAGACATGTCGACGGCTGACGGACAAACATGGTTCACTCTATCATTTGGATATATTCGACTTTCTTAGTTTCACCGTTTTCGAGTTCAATTTACGGGATTTGTTTCACACTGTTGTAAGCTTGTCAAACCTACTGTGAATACTGATATCTTGTAGGTCAATAATAATTCGGTTGTCTTAGTCGAGGTATTATCTCTTCATGTACTTAAAAGGTGTTATTAACCACTAGATATTTTTCGCAATTTCTTTGGCTAGAGATCCCATTCACGTGACCAGTCCTCAAGTCATGTAGACAAATATTTCGGTGAATACGGATTTCTAAACATAGACTAGAGGAGAATCCCCAATACGCTAAACGTTTGTAAACAGTTGTTTGGTTAATAAATATTTGAAGGGGCTTCTTCTATGTGTTGTAATTGTCTTACATCAACACAAACTATCGTATTAGTCAACATCATTACTTGTCTAAACCAAGGTGTACGATTTGAAATCTACAATAAAGTGTGGCCGAAACCTCGTTTCCTAAAGGGCCTGTCACACACTACCGATGTACCTCGCCGGGACTAAACCGGAGCAAAAAATTAACAATGGCGAGAAAATCGGCAGAGCTCTGGCGAGAAAGCACTTGAAAAATCAAAAATTACTGTAGCAATACCGATATAGTACCGGCGTTCCCGTTGTGACACCGTTGTTCTACCGATGTGCTACCTAATAGCACTTTTTGTCACCTCAGTGTTACCAAGGCGTGGCCGATGTTATACCGAGGGTCCGCCGATGTTCTAACGATGTGCCACCGTTGACCGGAGCTATAGCGGAGTGATACCGTTGGGGTGACGAAGTTACGTTAGTACATCGTTAGTACATTGGCGGCGCATCAATACTACTTCGGTGGTATTCGGTAGTACTAAGGTATCACATCGATACCAGTACGGTACACATTGAGGCCACCGGAGAGCCGCCGATCCATTACGGGACGCTACCGGTGCTCTAATGACATCAACAAAGCCATACCGGACTACTGCCGATGTACTGCCACTGTAGTCCGGTTGCTCGCTGGGGCAGCGCAACGGCGGAAATTATTGAGCATGATCAAATATTTCTACCGTCGCCTGCCGTTGCTAAATTTTTCGATAGCGATGTGAGACCGTTGCGCTGCCGTACTAGTACCGATCCCAAAAAATCGTCAAATTTGGGCTCCGGTATAGCTCCGGCGACCCAAATCGGCTAGGTGTGATATAGGACCTTGACCATGATATTTAAAAGTCAATTTATTCATCGTATCAGCATGTTACATAATTTGATTATAACCTCGGATTCGCCTCTGTCTATATCTAGGACAGTTGACATACGAGTGGAATATATATCTGATATGACACTGTACGGGAAATCATTGGATTTTCGATTGATTTTCAGACACTTATTTGAAGCATTGTATTACTAGTTGTATGTAGTATGTAGCTTAATTGACTCGTATATTGTTAACAATCTCTAGATCGGAGTGTCCTACTGGTTGTCCAAAAGTTATACAGGAGAACCTACCGATGATTACTATCTGTATAACAGCCTACTGGGGGAACAGTCCATAGACGGCACCACTCAAAGGACTAGAAACTCCTATAGTAAGTACACAGTCCATAGACGGCACCACTCAAAGGACTAGGAACTCCTACAGTAAGTACACAGTCCATAGACAGCACCACTCAGAGGACTAGGAACTCCTACAGTAAGTGCACAGTCCATAGACGGCACCACTCAGAGGACAAGAAACTCATATAGTAAGTACACAGTCCATAGACGGCACCACTCAAAGGACTAGGAACTCCTACAGTAAGTACACAGTCCATAGACGGCACCACTCAGAGGACCAGTAACTCCTACAGTAAGTACACAGTCCATAGACGGCACCACTCAGAGGACCAGAAACTCCTACAGTAAGTACACTGTCCATAGACGGCATCACTCAAAGGACCAGAAACTTCTACAGAGAAAACAACATACCTCCAGTTGGTTCCTAATCGAGAACTTGCGGGACTTACTGGTTGTCCAAAAGTTATACAGGAGAACATACCGATGATTACTATCTGTATAACAGCCTACTGGGGGAACAGTCCATAGACGGCACCACTCAGAGGACTAGAAACTCCTACAGTAAGTACAAAGTCCATAGACGGCACCACTCAGAGGACCAGTAACTCCTACAGTAAGTACACAGTCCATAGACAGCACCACTCAGAGGACTAGGAACTCCTACAGGAAGTACACAGTCCATAGACGGCACCACTCAGAGGAGTAGGAACTCCTACAGTAAGTACAAAGTCCATAGACGGCACCACTCAGAGGACCAGTAACTCCTACAGTAAGTACACAGTCCATAGACGGCACCACTCAAAGGACTAGGAACTCCTACAGTAAGTACACAGCCCATAGACGGCACCACTCAAAGGACTAGAAACTCCTATAGTAAGTACACAGTCCATAGACGGCACCACTCAAAGGACTAGGAACTCCTACAGTAAGTACACAGCCCATAGACGGCACCACTCAAAGGACTAGAAACTCCTATAGTAAGTACACAGTCCATAGACGGCACCACTCAAAGGACTAGAAACTCCTATAGTAAGTACACAGTCCATAGACGGCACCACTCAAAGGACTAGAAACTCCTATAGTAAGTACACAGTCCATAGACGGCACCACTCAGAGGACCACAAACTCCTACAGTAAGAACACAGTCCATGGACAGCACCACTCAGAGGACCAGAGACTCCTACAGTAAGTACACAGTCCATGGACGGCACCACTCAGAGGACCAGAAACTCCTATAGTAAGTACACAGTCCATAGACGGCACCACTCAGAGGACCAGAAACTTCTACAGAGAAAACAACATACCTCCAGTTGGTTCCTAATCGAGAACTTGCGGGACTTACTATGGCGGGTGCCGAATATTGTGCAGAAAAGTGATTTTTGTCTCTGCTATGGTATATATGACTCATTATTTAAATTTTATCCTTTCAGACATGTACTATGCAACCAAGTTAAAGTACATTGGGATCCGTATCAATACCACCATGAACGTCTATACACTTGGTTACCCCGAAGGGAAACCTGTTTATCAGAGATGGGAGAATCTCATAACAGAAGAGGTATACTAAACAAACTTTATAATTTTGTCAGTCCTATGTCCACAAGAAATATTGTTATTTTACTGAGCAAGTGGTCACTGTGATGGTTAAATAAAGCTAAGAATATTTATTTCCTCATCATTATTAATTACATATGTGTGTAGCCAAAATCTCCTGTTGTGTTACCCTTTAAACATATCCCTTGTTGCTTGTCGATATTTTATCCTTGGATATTTCTTGTAGTTCTGTCACTGATGGACCTTGCTGTTTTATCATCTCTAGTTCCCAATGTTGTTTTATCATCTCTAGTTCCCTATGTTGTTTTATCATCTCTAGTTCCCCATGTTGTTTTATCATCTCTAGTTCCCCATGTTGTTTTATCATGTCTAGTTCCCTATGCTGTTTTATCATCTCTAGTTCCCCATGCTGTTTTATCATCTCTAGTTCCCCATGTTGTTTTATCATCTCTAGTTCCCCAGGCTGTTTTATCATCTCTAGTTCCCTATGTTGTTTTATCATGTCGAGTTCCCTATGCTGTTTTATCATCTCTAGTTCCCCATGCTGTTTTATCATCTCTCGTTCCCCAGGCTGTTTTATCATCTCTAGGTCCCTATGGTGTTTTATCATCTCTAGTTTTGTTTTATCATCTCTAGGTCCCTATGGTGTTTTATCATCTCTAGTTCTCCATGCTGTTTTATCATCTCTATTTCCCCATGTTGTTTTATCATGTCTAGTTCCCTATGCTGTTTTATCATCTCTAGTTCCCCATGTTGTTTTATCATCTCTAGTTCACCATGTTGTTAGTTCCTGCTGTTTTACTAATGATGTTTTCGTTTTATTAAATTCAATAATTTCAGAAGGTGTATTTTTCATATTTCCCGATGTTTTATTAGTCATGTTTCCCGATGTTTTATAATTGAAACATGTCGTTTTCTTATTACTGCTATTTCCAGATGCTTCATATATTCTGATGTCTTATTATTAATATTTCCCATTTTTTTTATTATTCATATTATCCGTTGTTTTATTATGAAAATTTCCCGATGTTTATATTTTTTTATAATTTCCTGATATTATATCATTGAAATATCCCTATGATTTATAATTAATATTTCCCGATGTTTAATTATGGATATTTCATTTTTTTTAATCGGAAACTAGTTGGAGAAAATGCCAGACACAATGAAGAATGGATTCCAATGTTCAACAAACACTTGGAACTGGATCAAAGTTCAGGAGGTAAGGCTCATCATACTAGTGCTTCCGTCACATAATCTGAAATTTTGTCCTGATCAAATACTAACAAGCATGTTTACTGAAATAATTGGATGTTTTCCGAACATTCATGGATAATCATATAGAACGTTTATAATATTAAGGTTGTCTGTTGATCGTGAAACTAAGAAATCTATTGTAAAACGACAGCATGTCTATCAAAGTCAGTATCCTCCTTCCTGTCCTGTTTTAGTCGCTGGCGGACTCTGCTGTACAGGGGGTAATCGTCGGCCTGTGTCTCGCCCTGCCCATCCTTATCATCACAACTTTAAATGTGGTCATCGGCTTCCTCGCCACTGTCACCATTGGACTCGTCACCGCCTGCGTCATAGGGATCATCCCCCTGGCTGGCTGGAAATTGGGGGTAAGTATTTTACAGGTATGTCGGGGTTCCCGATTAAAATGATAATTTTTTTTTCGATAACTTAACAGAAAAAAGGGATAAAAATACTTCCTGACCGAAATTCAAAAATGTATCTGATCTTTTGTCATGCAAACAACTTGACGCGCTTTTGAATACTTACTTAGGTGTTGGAGTCACTGAACATGTGTATGGTGGTTGGTCTATCCGTGGACTACGTTGTACACCTGGCCGAGGCTTACGCTACATGTCCCTCCCCCTACCGGATGGACCGTGTCCGCAACATGCTGGAGAGCATGGGCCTGTCTGTCCTGTCCGGGGCTATCACTACCTTTGGAGCTGCCTCGTTCATGCTGTTTTCACAGATCCAGTTTCAGTACCAATTTGGAATATTTGTGATGAGTACAATCTCAATTTCACTCTTCTTTTCGTTCTTTGGTTTCACTACGTTTATGTCATTGTGTGGTCCCCAGGGCAACACCGGAAGTCTGGTAGCCTTCGGTAAATGGATAAAATCGAAGTGCAGCAACAACAAAAATGAGGAACTTTCCTCAACGCCTTCACAGATTTACGGAGACCAAAGCAAGTTTTATTGTTTGCTGACGTGTACACTGTGTCTTCCTTCGTCACATGTTGGCCTTTACACCTGCAGAACAACAACTACATAGCAAACAGCACTCGGCACCATTCCAGGCGTCACCTGCGTTATTGCTTTTGTTTGCACGTCTCACTTGCAGTTTTCATTCACAGACTTCAACACAATGACGCATGCTCTTTCCTTGCTTGAGCACATTGTACCGGACAGTCGCATATCGTTTCAACCTCAACAGACAAATACATAGATTCATCACGAATTTCATCATCAGATCAATGTCATATCATTATCGGAATACGTACTAAAAGGTATCAGTATTTCAAATTCTATCAGTTCAGAAATAAATTGGTCATCGGATCAATAATTGGACTAAAACGTCTCAACGAAGTTAATGTTTAAACGAACACAATCAAATAATAGTATCTCGCCTTTTTGGCATCACATACGAAGGTAAGGTTATAAAATATATTTGTTAAAAATGCAAATATTTCTTAATATTTTGTAAATCATTATGTACCACCATTAGCACTGGTTGTTGCATTGCACTGTCGTAACAAAACGAACAAGTGTCATTTTTATCATTGCAAACTTTCAACCAGCATTCATTTTTTTGATAACGGTTAGTAAGCTAGAATTGCAGTGCTAACGTGTGATCTTGTTTCTAAATGATGTATCGAGATGGAAATGGTCCAAAATCAAGCGTCAAACAAATTGTTTCAGTGTGTCTGAAATGTTTCCCATTAGGCTGAACTAGGGTATACATAGTAAATCGCCGCACTCTGTATTTGTTCTAAACACTAATTTAATACTTATTATGTAAATGTTAATTAATTGTTGACCATTTTGGTTTTGAAGGGACAACCACATTCATTGGGACAGACCGTAGGCATGTGATGGCTCCTGTAGAAATGTCGTTGGTGCGAAGTCAATCCCGGGTCAACTCCTCGGACAGCTCGCTACGCCTCAGATTCTGGGAATGATTCGCATGAAACCAGTCGAGGAGTAACTCGTTTCCCTTTGGATTTTTCACTGGAGAATTGAACACGTGTACCAAGATTTTGATTTAGGAGTCGCTCCTAAGTGCTTTGCTGTGTTTTGTGATAAAACCGTATACCGGATTACCCTCAGTGTATCGACTGCTGTAACGGAAACTTCAGCATTAATCTGTATAATATAAAATGTACATTTTATGCTATTTTAGTGAGAAAACAATTGAATTTGTAGTAATGCATTACAATCTTTTTATTGAGTTATCTTTATATTATAAAATGTAAAACTTAACTTAACGGATTTAGTTTTCTCTGTGCCTATTGTGTATGCACTTCTACAGACATGTGTAGTAAATATTGCTATGTTAGCCTTCAGGTATCATCTGAGTTACCAAATGCACAGCACAGTCACAATTATTCTATTAAGCATTTTAATGCAGTTTTTATTTAAAATCTAATATTATTTTCTGCATTGTTATCCTATTTAAGATTTGTTAAATAAACTTTGTTACTTAATCAATTGTAATAATAATAAATAGGATAGATAACATCAAAGACGACTTTCTAAATATCAATGTAACAAGAACAACCAGAGGCCACAATCAGAAACTAGAACAACTAAGGAGTAGAAGTAATCTGCGTGGCCACTCGTTCAAATTGAGAATTGTAAACAACTGGAATGGTCTCTCTGATCAAGTGGTAAATGCCCCATCTCTGTTTTCCTTTAAGACCAGGTTAAATAACACTGGATAAATCACCCCAACAAGTTTGAACCAAGCTTTTACTAACTAGCTGGGGTAACACATACAGGCTTCTCTAATGTCTCATTTAAATTCAGCATTTTTTAACCGATGAAACCTTTTAATATCTATGTTTCCTAGTAAAGCCCATTGACAGGTCTGTAACTAATTCACCACAATGTGTGTATCCATACTAAAAAGTAAAACAACTCTATTTTTTTGAGACTTGTGATCTATACAGGCCTGTCAGTCCTATTTTGAAACTGAATACCCTTATTTTATATAAATCAGGATGCAACTTTTGTTACCATCCACTGCACATGTACATACTTTTCACTAGTTTTTGAGAAATAAAGTCCTCTTCAAATGCCTCCGAATGCAACCGGAAGTGAAGTGGACAGTATTAAGAAGCACCTCAAGAAGCGACTAGACGCTTACAACGGTGCCACCTGCAATGAACCAATGAACCAATACTTTGTTCACTGTCTGATATCGTTGTTGACCTACATACTTTGTTCACTGTCTGATATCGTTGTTGACCTACATACTTTGTTCACTGCCTTAACTCATTGTTGACCTACATACTTTGTTCACCGTCTTATATCGTTGTTGACCTACATACTTTGTTCACTGTCTTATATCGTTGTTGACCTACATACTTTGTTCACTGTCTTATATTGTTGTTGACCTACATACTTTGTTCACCGTCTTATACCGTTGTTGACCTTCATAATTTGTTCACTGTCTTATATCGTTGTTGACCTTCATAATTTGTTCAGTCTTATATCGTTGTTGACCTACATACTTTGTTCACTGTCTGATATCGTTGTTGACCTTCATTTGTTCAGCGTCTTATATCGTTGTGACCTACATAACTCTTCCCCGTGTCTTACATCGTTGTTGAACTACACATATACTTTTTTCACTGTGTCATTTATCGTTGTTGACCTTGATACTTTGTTCATTGTCATCATTTATTGAGACTAGCGCTTTTTTAACCTACAATCATCAGATGGTTGGCTACTCAAAGCACCATCGTCCGTGGTCCTTGGTCCGTTTGCCAGTCTATCATTCCTTAAACAATTCTTGTCAGCGCTATTTTTAACAGTTATTGAGGTATTTTTCTCGAATGTCACATGACGGTTTCCTATGTTATGCATATGGAATTTTTGGAATGATCAGGAAAAACTTGCTTGCCGACTAGACGCCGTCTTTGATTTTGAGAGTTAAAAGTTTGGTAACGTTTTTCCTCGAAAAGTACCGGAGGGATCTTTTTCAAATTCGATATATATATATATATGTATATTGTCTTTAGTTACACACGTTTAATTTTTGGACCTATCAGAAGACCAAGATGACTGACAGGCCGCCATCTTGAATTTTGAGATATTCTTAACATTACTCCTCAGAAAGTCCTCCAGGGATCTTTCTCAAATTTCCCATGAAGGTTCCCAATCATGAATGGTTCCTTGTTACAAAACTTCATTCATCATTGACAGCAGTTCTATGTTAATGTACAAGATTCCCATTTAGGATTTCCAACATGGGACTTTAACAAAGTGCCAAGAACATGTTCAAAGTATTCTTCCTTCAGTTTGGTTTTAGTTTCTCCTAAGTTCCTGTTGTTGATCTTTCGTAAAACCCTTGAGCTCGGTTTAGTGATTGTTTGTAGACACTTTGACATACTATTTCTTCTTCACGTGATGTTGTACTCCTCTTACGGTGTACACACTAGCCACCATATAATTATGTCACACAAATAGTCTCAGCATCTTGCATAAATTATTACTTCATACTGGTTATCACAGAAAATTTGGAAACATTATACCTACTAAATGTACCTTTAAAGAGGTTCAGGACATATTTAAATGTTCAGTAAGACAACCACTACATAGGTATCACAAAACAACTTTATTTTCTTGAGAGTGACCATCTCAATCCAAATAGGCTACAAATGTCACAACAAATATACACTCAATATATTTATTACTGGAGTCATCAAAAAGGTCAGCATCATCAATTTCATTGATTATCAGGTAAAGGGAGAAATCACAAGATTTCAACATACCGGTACTCAATAAATTTCTAAATAAATGTAGCAATTTCAAAATACAATGTTATCCTTTTAATTTTTTGTTTGTGTAATTCTAAATATGCTGAACACTGTCAAAATCATCAAGAAAAAAAATTGCATTTACTTATGAAAAAAAGCTTCTTCACGAACACAAATTGTACGTTGACAAACACAAAGGACAACATCATCAGAATGAAATAAAGGTCTAGAGGATTTATCTGTTTACTGTGTGAGAGCTTGGATATATACCAGTGTCCAGAGACGTATAATCAAAGTACTGAAAGTACTGAACACACAAACAAGGATGGGACCTGCTTACAGTTTTGTGAAAGCACATATTCTCAAATATACGTCTCTGCCAAGTCGTCTTACATCATTGCCATTTGGTATATAAATCATTATGTGGATATTGGGTAAATCAGATAACTGAACGACGAGGCATAAACCAGAAGACACAGACAGGATATTCTTAACTCAACATTGAGAAGAAATAACTGTCCAGATGTCAGGTATAACCAACACTGCGGACAATGAATGCTGGGTGATCTTCTGTAGAACTATTTCTTATGTTTTTTGACCCCTACATATCTCACAAACAGCATTGTTAAACACATCTCTGGAGCCATATGACTACCTATATAATACCATACTACCCTACTTGGCTGACAAACAACAACATGACAATAGAGGTAAGCCAATCTAACTTTGATAAAGTGATTTATCCTTGGGCTTTGCTTGTCTTTACATTTACAGTGATGTTACTTATCAGGGGCGTTTCTAGGATATTTGAAAGAGGGGGCGTAGAATCAAATCTGTCGCCGAGCGGAGCGAGTCAAAAAAAAATTGGACCTCTTTTTTGCTAAAAAACATAAAATAATTGTGAAATGCACTAATGTAACGGTTCCTGACTTGGAGTATGTATATTTTATAGTTAAAGTGTAAGGGTGTTAATGTGTTTAATTAATGAATATGATAAATTGCCATATTCAATACAATATTAGCAGATTACGATATTTTTTAATTTTATTTTTTGAAAAGGGTATGCCCATTACGCCCTCACCTGGACCCGCCCCTGCAAGTTATGTTATCAGTTACCCTATAATTCAGTATATTACACTTGATTTGCAATATGTAAATCTTTTGAGAAACAGGTTATCTCATTTTTTTTATATATTTAATATCTAGGTCTTGTTAGAAAGAGATAATGTAATATTGATCGATATTCAAGTCTTTGAGAAACAGATTATCTCATTAAAGTTTATGAAATGTATTTCAATCTTGTTTCTCTGTTGTTCATCAAATCAGCCAGTAGATCCTCACTAAATCAGTACTGGGCTGGGTTTGATCCTCTACCACTATAATATCTGTACTCTACCTTCACAAAGATTTCGTTCTGATGACTGAGAGGACTAAATGGCTACTACTACAAGGCATCAAACACGGATACAATTTGGCTAATGTAGGCTAAGTGAATAGCCAGTGAAAATTGGCTAATGTTACAACATATAGGCTAAGTAGATTGCCAGAATAAATTGGCTAATGTAACAACAAATAAGATCACCAGTCGTTAAAACACACCGGATCCTAGTAACATACTTCATGCTTTCAATGTTCAAATTTTCATCTGTATCTGTCATTAAGTCCTATGATAATTATCAGAGATTATTGGCAACGAAATTTCTTCAATATTTCAAATGGCAAGATCAATGTTTCCTTTTATCACGACCCAAATATATCTATACATGATTTCAAAATTAGAATAAATGCAACAATGCATTTTCGTTTTATATAAATATTTTAACTGATGAATATTTGATGGATGAAATATGTTTCTATGATATGTAAATATACCAAATCAGAACATATATAACAAGATATTAGTTTTAAATGCATAATATATAGAATATTGTGGGTGATGTCATTGTCATAGAAATGTGTCTATGGAAACATGTGGCCGTACACTATGAATTTACAAGGTGTATGTTATCTAACATAGTGACGTGTGATCTGTACGAATGAGTGTAGGTCGTAGAATTCGTGTTATACAAAATGTATGTAGCTAAAGTGACACATGTGTATGCATACTGTGTTTTTGTAAACAAGATGTGGCAGACATATTTATAGCAGGGACAGTATATCACACTATACGTCCCTGGTTATAGTGAGTGTCAGTTTTTTGAGTGACATGTAAACATAAGCATAATGTGTAGTTTAGGTAAGAGTGGCACACAGGTAGTTATAGGGTTTTGTGTCAGTAAAGTGACATGTTCTAATATGTATGTATAAGACCAATGACCTCGTGTTTTATAGTGTATGTTGAGTAATGAAGCACATATGCACAGGTATACATAATAAGTATTTGTATGTAGGTGGCAAATGTGTATAGCCTGTATGTGTTTGTATTTAAAAAAGTTTGCTTTGTGTAAAACAATATATATCAAAGTGTGTTTTTAAAGTATAAATAAAAGTTTGTGTAAGTAATTTTTAGTGTAAATAAAAGTTTGTGTAAGTAATTTTTAGTGTAAATAAAAGTTTGTTGTGTAATGATTATAAGAGTAAGTGAAGGTGATGCAATGTAGACAAATGTGTGATAAAATATATATAGAGTTCAGCAGTTACAGCATCCGGAGCATTCTGCATCCAGTTGTCATGGTTACAAATTATATACAAGATTCGTCTGATCTTGAAACATATCTTATCTAATAAAACTTTATTATTCCAAAATTTCAAAAATAAATGTATCTGATCTTTCATTTTTGTTTGTTTAGGGCTTTTTTTTACTATGAAATTATCTCTCTTTTTTCCGTATTTTAATAGTCCACATTTTATCATATCAAATTCAACTAGTACATTTAACCAATTTATGTACAGGATGTAGAACCAAAGATATATCAGATTTTTTGGGTTTTTAACTTCTTCATTATAGCCTTGAATTGACTTTTTAAACAACAGACGATCCCAATAAAATGTGTGGACTTTCTGCATAAAAATAGTATTTACAACCCATCACATAACACACACAAAGATCATTAAAATATCCTTTAAACAGTTTTACCAAAATGGAAAAAAACACATTATCAATTTGGATGGAATCTTTGTATAATTGTATAACAAAATAAAAGTTCATATAAAGGTTGGCTCGGATTGTTCTTATATTTCAAAACAAAAGTGTGCTGTTCCTGCAACAAACGGTTGCATTAACAACATCTTAATGAAATTTTGAAGTTGTTTAACTTATCTTTTCATAAAAATATAATTATCATAATCCAACACCTGAACATTACTAAACATCTTATTCTTATAACCAAATATATCATAAAACATTTTCATACCTCTTTCATGATGTTTTCTGATTTGCAAATTTAAAAAATACAATTGATTTTTTTTGAAAATATCCTTTGAAATTTAAAAAGATTTTTTTTCTTTAAAAAAGTAGATTTAATTTCTTATTTTCGTGAACAAAAACTTGTCTAAACCTTCAAACCTAATCAAAACATCCTCCAGTGAACAAGCAGACAGGAGACCCTAAATATTAATCTTACTTTATCTAAATGTGACTGAAACCAACTTAAATGTTTTAGAATGAGTATTGTGGAATTGTACACATGATTTGTGTACAAGGTAGTCTAAGGCAGTCAGGGTTTAGACAAGTTTTTAAAATATGAATAAAATGATAAACCAAAATGCTGTGCCAAAAAATAACAAGCAAAAAAAATGTTGATAAAAATAAATATATGTGACTGCCATAGACTACCTACTCTGTTTGGAATTAGTTCACTGGAGGGGAGACAACTCTAGACCAATGACAGCAAAAAAGCTATAAAAAGTACTTTTGAGCATTTATATCCAAAAATGTCATTGCATAAACGTTTTTTAATCTTTGAATGAATTTAATCTAAATAGAAAATCCATTTATCTTTTAGATTTATAGAATATAAACAAAAGTCAAATCCAATTTCACTTAATTTCATAAAAATAAATTCCGCTGTCTCTAATAGCTTGTTTGTTTGTGTTTTACGTCCTATTAACAGCTATGGTCATTTAAGGACGTGCCAGGTTTTGGTGGTCGAGGAAAGCCGGAGTTCCCGGAGTACCTGGCAACTGCCCCACATAGGTCTCGAACCCGCGACCCAGTGTTGGAGGGCTAGTGGTAGCAGAATGTCAGACGCCTAAACCACTTGGCCACTGCGGCCCCTTCTCTAATAGCAATATTAGTTCTATGTTGGTATCAGTGATACTAAAACTCCTATGTTAAAATCCCTTTGCAGTTTAACAAAAGGCATGCAAAATGAATCTTAACAGAAAGTTGTAGTCGATACAAATAGTACTTCACCAATCAAACAGATGTAAAATCAGACACATAGCAAGAACAACCAAGAAATAGGCCTTGTCAAATAAAACAAACAAAATGTATAGACTTGTCCAAACTGTCTTCTCGGATCATAAGTGAAGCTTGTCAATAGACTGAAGATGGTGTGATTTCAATCCTGTACTGTGGTACATACACAAGTCTTGTTGATGTAAACATGACAAATTAATACTCATTGTTAGTTTTGACTATTTGCCACAATTCTGCCAACAACTAGTTGAGTCAGGTCTCAAAAGCTCAGCCAATCAAATTTGAGATCTCGATGATGTCAAGTTTTACTGGCTCAGCAAGGTAAGCTCTAAGATAAGCTTTAGTCGAGGGGTTGAGGTAACTCAAGCACTGTTAGGGAAACTGTGGCAAAGCAGTTTCATGAATGGACGGAATACAGACACAAGTCTGTGGTCAGGGTTAGTATATCATTGTAGTATATCATTGTCATGGCAACACTAGGTAACAGCTCCTAGTCCCTCTACAACATTTCAAAGAAACTTTTCCGTATCTTTTTGGTCCAAATAACAAAACCTTTTTTTCAAGCTTTAAAATTTATAGATTTTGGTTAATTTTCATAACAAGGGAACAAATTTGTGAAATAAAAAAACTTTTTTTTAAAAAAAGGTAACAAAATTAACAAGTTATGAATAAATCTAACAAAATAAAAGCATTTAACAATTTTAACAATTTAGTGTAGTAGTGGAACTAGAGTCCATTCCCCACTGCTGCCTCATACAAACAACGAGAATATAAACTCTATATATAACAAATAAAAACTGCACCAACAGAAAACTTAACAACTGTGTATCACAGTCGAGCCATCAACAACAACTTTCACAGTGTTCCTTGTAAACGTAAGAAATCTGTTCAATGGTACTCGTCATAGTTTGCCTTCCAGCAATCCTTATTGCTGGCTTTGTCATATTATGCACATATAAGATATTACATTATCAATACCTGAATCTCAAACTCGACTCAGAACAAAGTCATTGAAAGAATCAAGTCTCACACTCGACTGATACTTTATAAAAAGGACTGCATATCTCTGTCGTACAATAATTACAATGTATAAAATGTATATAAAAAAGTGGAATAACTTGGATCAACTAATATGATCCGGGTCATGAGAAGCTCAGAAATGGCAAATACATGTATAACATAAAAAGCATGGAAGAAATGCAGACCCTTTAGTCAAATATAATTAAAAAATCAAGAGTCCTATAAACATTACTCACACTCCAAACTAGTCATCAATAAAAAAAAGTCTTGATGCTTGTCACACAAGCATCTCGTAAGTTTAGCTAGTATTCACCCCCTGTAACAGTGGTAGGTACGTATGATAACATGAATATGATCAATGAATAAAACTAAATGAACTAGTAGTTGCAATTCCAACAAGACTGTCAAAAGACAGCCAGGAACTTGTCGATGACATAAATAGGTGTACAGCTGGCACTGTGTAGGCCTGGGTAAGGTGTGGGCACTTGGAGATCCATCATAGTTGTCTCCCTTGGTGACAAGATGTCGCCAGAGTTGCTACATCATATATTTCTCATTTCTCATCACGAAACATGCCTCAGCGTGATCTATGAAAACATAACATAAATAGCGAATATGAAAGAAATGGTGTTAAAATAAACAATCACCTGTATCAACAGTAAGTTTGAACCGATATCTATGGAGAGTGTTAGGTAAGTTTAAAGCTGATCTAGTGGAGCGTTGTATGTATCAAACTACAATGCGTAGTGGATCTCAACATTAAGTCAAATGAACTTTCAAATATGACAGATGACATGTGGCTGTCAGTTATGGGGATATCCTTTTTTAATATAAGTTTACCTTATTCAGTGAAAACACCCATGTCATAATTATGCATATGAATTTAACCTTGATATGACCTATTTTAACCTCATCAAATGTTTAATAGAATCGTCCCCTATCTTGAAGTTGACATGACAATCTCCAAACCAAGGGTGATGTGTTTGGTTGTCTAACTGGAGGCTCTGCCAAGGGTTAAACAACCAAATTATCACCCAGATAGTTGGCGCTTCTCTGCTGCACCTTCAAGTGGGGGATGATTATTTTTCTCCCATCCTATTACTTCAGTCAAAACTCTACCGACAGTATTATAGCATGAGTGTAAACAAAAGCATATGTGGCGTTTCAATATCAGCATTAACTTTTTATGACATCAAAATTTAGTGCATGCAATTCTGCACAAGGTTATCTCCCCTTAGTGGGTAACATGTTTATCATTTTTGGCTAAAAAATTTATAGCAATATCCCATAAAATCTTGAGCACGTGAAAAAAATGGTCTGAAGTCTGTTTCCTTGTCATGAATCTTGTACAAATGTTCCACTTTTGCTTACCAGATACAGGCTAAAGTATAACATTCTTAAATTTATTCATCAATCTCATATACAATGAAAACGCATGTAAGATCTTATACCTGTGGTACATATTGTCAATAAGATGCACTTTTATGAGGTGCTGTCCGTGACTAGAGTAAAATCTCCATAGTATTTTTTTCGTACTTACATACATATTTAGTAAAAATTGTCTTTAGAATGAGGTTTACAATGGACAGTAACAAGAATACATACCTGCTAAAACCATCTGTGGTACTGGTGTAGGTAGGGCTGGGGTGGAGCCGGGGCATGCTACCGGGGAACTCTGCCTTGATGACCGCTGGGTACTGTTGGCAGTCGGTGTGGATGGGCTCCTGTGGTGGAGGGGAGTACTGACAACTACTGTGGGGGGAGTCAGGATACATACAGTTAGAGCTGGGACTGGAAGGGTACTGGGCTGAGTGGACCGGGGAGCTATGGAATTGTGGCCCACTGTAGTGAGGGGAGTTGGCTGGGGAGCTCATGTACTGAGAAGTACTGCCTGGAGACCCAGGACAGGGGTTACTGGGGGAGGGGCAGTACTGACTTGTACTGCCTGGGGAGTGGGGATAGATGGGACTGTGGGAGGGGGAGTTCATCTGATATTGGGTAGGATTGATGGGAGAATCTGAAAAGTTGGGTGAGTTTGGGTACTGTACACTGGTGGAGGAGGGGTCGGGGTATGTAGGGGAGGTGTGGTCAGTGGTGGTCTCCACAGGCATGTGCTGTGGTGGCACTGGACATCCACTCCTGTCCATCATACAAGGGGAGCGGGTGGGGAAGTTGTTAGGGTAGTAGTTGAAGTTTTGCTGGGGCTGTCGGGGGGTGGTGCAGGGAACTTTGTCCTGAGCCTGGATCGTCTGTTCTGTCTGGAGGTAGTCCAGAATTTCATCCATTTCTTCCTCCATGAAGGAGAGAGCAGAGGGCTGGGCTGTTGGCTGGTTCTGGCCCATGTTACTGGAAGGAATGGGTGCTGCACAGGGGGTCCGGGCTGAGGTGGAGGAAGTGATTGGGGCATGCCAGTTGTTGATGGAGGTGGAGGAGGAGGCAGGGGTGGTCCAGCAGGGGGCTGCCTGGCTACAGTGGGAGGTGTTACTGCCCATAGAGCAGTGGTCAGACATGGGGGTCAGTTGGGTATATAGCAGATCTGTGGGCATGGACATCCTCTTGGTGTCTGTCTGCTCACAGGCTGAGTCATGGGATTCTGTCTTGATCTTCTTGCTTGCCAACAGGAAGCCAATGTAAGATGGTTCGTCGACAGACTTAGAGTCTGATTCGTGCTGGGACATGGGTGAGCCTGCTCCACTGTCGTAGGAGGAATGAGGAGACATCTCACTCAGGGAGGAGTGAGGACTGTTGCTCTCCTCAGACAGGTCAGAGAGGTCAGCACCAGGTGAGCATGACAGAAGGCCATCACTGTTATCTGACTTCTTGGGACGACCCATCTTGATGGCTGCAATGACAATTCAATATTTCACAAATGTGGTATACTGAGAGAAAAACCAAGTCCTGCCAGGGTATGAGATCCTGTCAGGGCCTTGTACTCTTAGCTGTATTGGGACTACTACAAACCCTAAATAGCCCAACAGTTACAACCTCCATATACATATACAATTCCTTTCAGGGCCTTACCAACTTAAATATTTTATTCTTAGACAATATGGAAGTCCTTCCATGCAGGGCCCTAACCCTGGTAGCCATACATGTACATACAGGGATAAAAAACAATTTGTCTACATCCATGCTTACCATCTGGAGAAAATGAATAGAAAGTCAAAGTGTCTGTGGCAGCGCTATATCCTGTGACATAGACCAGCTAGGTATAAGGTTGTCACCATGGTGTCCTGTATACTGAGACAGATCATAAAAATGTCTCCCTTAAGCTAATTACCTTCTCTGGACATTCCGACAGTGATACATTTCTGGTAGCGACAAAAGCGACAGTTGTTCCGATTCCGCGGATTGATGGTACATTTCTTATCTCCCTTGCAGACGTAGCTCTGGTTCTCAACCAAACCACGTCGGAAGAATTTCTGTGAAAAAAGACATAACCAAATGATAGACATTGTATCCAATAGATTAAGATATTTATTTTGTTTAAACTTGCAATCTAGGAGACCAGGACATGAGAACGGTTATGAAATTGTCCACTAAAACTGACATAACTATATTGTTTATATGATAAAATGTAGACATAATTTAGACTATGGAACCAGACCTTGCATCCTTCACAGGTGTTGACTCCAAAGTGGATGCCGTTGGCAATGTCTCCACACACCTTACACAACACCTGGCCCTCTGCTGGCTGGACTGTCTCAGGCTTTTCTGTAATACAAAGCTTACATTAACTCACAAAATAAAACTTTGGCTTCGCTATAGAGGAGGAATAAAATGATTACTTGCTCACGGGAAGAAACAGCTCACCTCACACATAGGAACATGAAGCTCACTTCCCACCAAACAACAAGCTTTAATTACCTCATAAAATAGGTGTAAATACAAAAACGTTTCCCTTTTCCAAACATACCAGTTTACCTCTAAAAGATATCAAATGCTATTTTACCTCTGAAAAATATAAAAATATAATACAGCGTTATCATGATCGTTTAGCTTACCTTTACGGCACATTCCTGCCATAAGGCATCGCTGGTAGCGACAGTATTGGCACCGAATGCGGCCCTGTTTGGCGATGTCACAGTTTCCGTTGCACTGGCAGGTGAAGGTCGGCTCACCCTCCTTGGTGCAGCGGATGTAAAAGCTCTGTAAATACATCAACAATAAATATGTAGTCCTGGTAATTATCAAAAAATCAGGTAATTAACAAAGCATCAAAGTATCATTCTCACAAAAAATGTCTGCTGGCTTTTCCTGGCAAATTGTTCATAGCTTAAGTTTTTTATGATGACAGGATTTTTTTGATTTTTATCAAGACAAATTGTGTATTACTAACGAGGATTTCACTTTAGGTCAATAAAAAAAAAACCATTAATCCACTGAAAAAGTAGTTGTGATTTAAATATTTACAGCTAATACTCATCCAAACAAAGAGTTAGTATACTGATGTATATCAGTTTACATGTTAGTTATAGTAATCCTTGATTAGCTTGTTTAAACCATAATTGCAAGCTTAGTAAATTTTGGTATCCACGATAAATTGAAATATGCAAGTGCATTTAGGCAATGGAAGAAGAGAACATTATGGTGAACTTGAACCGCCATTGCCCAGTGCTGTCTGATGTCTGTGTTGTATATAGTCCGGACTCTGCGAGTGGTTTACACTCAGTTCTGTATATGTCACATGTTACTATGTAATAATTGTCTCCCTTTATAAGTTTTCTGATCTAGAGAAATACTGCCTGATCAGTGAAGTTGTAACTAAACTGAAGCCTCCAGTATCAATGTTTACCATCAATGCTTGATCACCCACCACTGTCGGTATCTATTTTACAGATAATCACCTAATTGGAAATGATATATTCAGTAAAACTGGTTTAGGGTATATTCCAAGTAATTGTTGAGTATAGGTTTCATAAATATATAAATGAACATCAGTTTATTTTCCTATACAGAATCTGTATGATCCTCTACAGCAGACATGTTATAAAACAATACATACAAGTACACCTATATGAAAGTTCGGCTATAGACATCACATGTTTAACAAAATATATTAGCTCCGTAACACCATTTCAATTTCTGATCAATCCAATACTTATCAAGTCTGTTTTTTAAATGTATGTATTGATGGTGCTGAACACTTCCTCTGGAAGACCGTTCCATAATTTTACTACATGTAGGGAAAGAAAGTTCTTCCTTATTTGAATGTTGTGGATTATTTTTTTTGGAATGCCCTTTGTACAATGTCGAGGTAATGGTTGTATTAATTAATGGTTAATTAGGTTACTCTCAGTAATGGTTGTTTTAATTAATGGTTAATTAGGTTACTCTCAGTAATAGCTGTATCAATTAATGGTTAATTATGTTACTCTCAGTAATGGTTGCATTACTTAATGGTTAATTAAGTTACTCTCAGTAACGGTTGAGAAAAAGTCATGCCTCGTTTATCAATGACTGGTGAGAGTATGTACATGACCACCTGTATATTGACATGTATCAGCAACTTGTGCCCAGTGTACACGTACAGGTGGTGTACTTGTGCCCAGTGTACACGTACAGGTGGTGTACTTGTGCCAACAGTGTACACGTACAGGTGGTGTACTTGTGCCCAGTGTACACGTACAGGAGGTGTACTAATTACACAGTTTCTCCCAAACTGTTTCACTAAAGTTTAATTTAGTGAAACAGGTTGGGAGAAACTGTGTAATTAGTAGACCACCTGTACGTGTACACTGGGCACAAGTACACGACCTGTACGTGTACACTGGGCACAAGTACGCCACCTGTACGTGTACACTGGGCACAAGTACAGGTGGTGTACTTGTGCCCAGTGTACACGTACAGGTGGTGTACTAATTACACAGTTTCTCCCAAACTGTTTCACTAAATTAAACTTTAGTCACAGAAAACTATCTGTAAAAACCAACAAATAATTTCCCCAGAGATAAGTAATGTCTCTACCCTAAACAGTACAGTTATCGTGGTGCTGGCCTTAGCTACACCTTGACAATTCCTGATTCGAGTAAATGTATGTCTACCTGTATATTGATCCAGTACTTAGATCAATGCCAGGGCTCTTAACGTACAAATCAATGGCCTTTATAAAGACGGTGATAATGAATATACATGGAGTACCTTGTGGATTTCACAATACAGTGTCAACACTTGTGTCAACACGTCTCAGTGTTATTGTTACACAGCAAAGACACGTTCAGAAAAAACACTCTCAATGGACCATATGGTAATTCCACATTTACTTTTTTTCTGAGTTAATAATATGTGGATACGGCAGCAATATTCCCTCCTTATGTCTGTATAAGACACCGATACACCTAGTTATAGCTATAGAGGTACCCCAGGCTTATATGCCAATGTGGTATATACCTAGCTATAGAGGTACCCCAGGCTTACATCAGTATCGGATACACCTAGCTATAGAGGTACCCCAGACTTACATCAGTATTGGATACACCTAGCTATAGAGGTCCCCAGGCTTACATCAGTATTGGATACGACTAGCTATAGAGGTCCCCAGACTTACATCAGTATTGGATACACCCAGCTATAGAGGTACCCCAGGCTTACATCAGTATTGGATACACCTAGCTATAGAGGTACCCCAGACTTATATGCCAGTATGGGATATACATAGCTATAGAGGGACCCCAGGCTTACATCAGTATTGGATACACCTAGCTATAGAGGTATACCCCAGACTTATATGCCAGTGTGGGATATACATATAGCTACATGTATAACAGGACCACAGGCTTATATGTACCTACATGTAGCTATAGCGGGACCCCAGGCTTACATCAGTATTTGATACACCTAGCTATAGAGCTTGAGGGACCCAAGGCTTACATCAGTATTGGATACACCTAGCTATATAAAAGGAACCTAACATGTGAAAACTGCACATTAAAATAGATTCAGAAGTACAGTTTATTTGAAATAATTTCAAAAACAAAATATAGTAACTCTAGAACTACAGTCCATAACAAGTAGGGTCAGCACTACACAGTCTGGAAGTATAGCTAAATTATAGCAGTTATTCAAGAATTGCCCTGCAAAAGTATACACACAAACTGCAAGTTCAGAGGCACAAAGTACTAAAATAGCCAGTCAGACGCACTGTTAAACTAAGCCAGTAGCCAGTCCTGAAGTACACCTGAACCTTTAAATTTGGTAGTTGACGTCTCTTTGGTGACCACAAGACTAACAGGAACCATGCTCTTTTATTTATTATGATTTCTCTTTGAAATTTAATTGCTGATAAGAGTTTATATATTGGTATGAGCTACATTGTTGTGTGATAAGCCCACACCTGAGGCCTGCTGTATGGCTGCTCACTCACACAGATCTCTACAAACCTTTACGCTGCTAATGTTTTACCTGTCTCCATTACCTTATACAAACCTGACAACTGGAACTGAAAAAACTCTAACAGTTCTATACCTGATCAAACCTCTGATCAATTTAATATGATAAAAATATTTGCAAACCCAATGTCTGGTTCACTGATTTAACACAAAAGCCTATAAGCTGAATGACATTCTGCTAAGTGATTTTAATTCTATTGGGAGATTGTTAAAATCACCTCCATATAGAAGTGATCGGGGGTAAGAAAACCTTGTAAACTTTTTAGTATAAGACAGGGCTTGAAAATCTCCTTGTTAATTATATCTAAACAAATGAAAATTATTATTCAAAGAGGAAGAAAACCTGTAATTGTATGGTATTGACTGTGAACCGAGAATAAGTCCTGACGGCTCGACCATCAATACACATCACAGTCATGTTTACACATGCTTGTCTCAGCCATTTTGAACGTAGTTGACATACACAACCTGCGTTAATATAAAGCAACAGCAGTTTTATTTACTCTTTGTGTACAAGTTCTATTTATGGAAAACTGTGGGTGTTTATAGGTATCAGACAAACACTGATCATGGGCGACCATCGAAGCTACACCAAAATGTAATTACTAAATGACAAATTTAAAACGGCTGACAATTTGAATAGGGGTATTACGTTTCACAGCGTAAATTTTGTCTGTCACTTCCGAGTGTAATTCTGTCGGCAGCAATTTAATAATGACTGATCAATGATATGCAGGAAATCCATTCCATTTGAATAAAGCTGAGATTAAAAACTAGATAAGTACACCTCGTATCATAACATACTTGTCCCTTTCCAACAGGGAAGGCGACATTATCTTTTTTTTCCTTGGAGACACTAACAACTTTAAAAAACAAACTACAAAATCACCTAATTCTGCGGTTAAATCTTTGTCAGGTATAATTTTAGAACACTTCCATAGCTGATCATTATCTGCTATATTAGAACATAATTCTTATCTAATCAATAGGTGTACATATATAAGTACACAGTATATATACTCGTAAGTCCAGTAATGTTTAAATCTCTCCAAGGCCACTCCACACCCAGTTACGCTCACAACCTTTCTCTCAGATGTTTTTAATCATCATATTAAGCCCACTTTTGCTTACAAGTTCAAATAATTCTGCAATGACTTAGTATTCATGATATCATGCCTTCCATCACCATTTTATACATTATAAGCAATCACATTTGATTTGTATCTTTATACCTTATCACCCTCACCATTCTAAAGGAGATAGTTAACTTATCACCCTCGCCATTCTATAAAGAGGTAATTATGTTATCACCATCGCCATTCTATGACGAGATAATTATCTTATAACCCTTGCTATTCTATAAGGAGATAGTTATCTTATCACCCTTGCCATTCTATAAGGAGATAGTTATCTTATAACCCTCGCTATTCTATAAGGGGATAGTTATCTTATCACCCTCACCATTCTATAAGGAGATAGTTATCTTATCACCCTCGCTATTCTACAAGGATATAGATATCAACCTCACCACACAATATCACCCTCCCCTATATTCGGATATAACTATCTCCTTTTAGAATGTGTTGATGGGGAGACAGTTATTTTGGACTATCTCATCCCACTTTAATATCACCCCCGCAATCTCATCCTATCTTTAAATCATTTATGAACATTTTGTACCCAATTTGTAGATCTTATTTGGAAAGAGACTATATTAATTACTAAGCTATGAGTTGGATACTATGTTGTGAATAGTCTGAA